ATTTTACTGTATTTAAGTCAGCAAAAAAATATTATATTTATTTAAAAAAAAAAAAACTAAATAGGCATCAGATTAAAAAAATGCTAAAAAAAAAAATTTAAAAGCTGATATTTGACAGATTTTACCTGTTTTGCTAAATTACAGATAATAGTAAAATAAAAGGGAAAAGGGTTGAAATAAATATTTACTATAAAAAAACTAACAAATACTGTAAATAATGGCCATGTTAAAGAAATCTGTATTTTTACAAAAGGAAATTAAAAAATAAAAAATCCACCATTTCACTGCATTTAAATCAATTTAGAAAAATCTAAATAATATTATTTTAACAATGTTTGCCAGCATTCTCATATTTTTTACTGCACCTTTACCACCAGATTTTAATGGTTTTTTTTTTCTTTAAATAGTTTTTTCTACAGCGTGTTGTCACTGTGGTTCATTTTCCTTCCTTTAGTTGCTTTTAATGCTGCCAAATCCCTAACTTTGTGACCATGCTTTGAGCATTTTAATTACAAATAATCTACATTTTATGTCTTTGCAGCTGAGTATTGGGAAATATTTGGAAGTAGAGAACTTTAATTTGCAATCTACTGCCGGATTTCACAACACGTTTAAAGAATGAAATCTTCTAAATCCACTGAGGAGTGACCGTGAGTTGAATTTTGGTGACTTGAGGTTCACAATCATACACAGAGTCGATAAAAACACCAAAAAACTGATGGTTTGTTGAACATAAATGCACTGACACTTTTATATGTGAACACTGTAACATGGCAGCACGTCAGAGTTTGTAGGAATACATCTGATGTTGTTCATGTCCTAGTTGATGTTTTAACATTGCATTTTTTTTCTTTATATTTCTCTGGAAACGTTAAGCTCCTGCTGCATTAAGTTGGATTCTGTTGCGCTGCACAAGCCCAGTAAAAGCATAACGGACAAATACATGATGTTTGGAGGCTCTTTATTGAATCAAATGTCAGAAGGAGACAGAAAGAGCAGCCCTTAATGCTGTTAGGCCTCCCGTTTACTCACAGGGGGAATGCAAATAAGATTTTTGAGTGTTTGGAGAGAAAAGAGGAGCTAAACTCTGTTTTGGGGGCATTTCAAGGAAATCAATGATAATTAATAGAAGACCTGATGCTCCGGCAGCGTTCAAATCGTTTTTATCTTTTAAAATGTATAGATTGTGAACTGCAGATATACAGTGATGTGAATAACAATGTCAGGAAATGTTCCCAGAAACTCACTGCTGGAATGTGGCTTTAAACGTCATTAACCGAGACTGAGATCTACCGAGTCTGTCTAACATTTTAAAAAACACATTTACACTACTAAACGTGGAGCCGCGCTGTAGCTGAAGCAAACCTTTACCTTTTTGTTTTGGTGACGACAGTTTGTGGATTTTATCAACTAAAAAAATGACACTTTGATGTTTGAATTCTGTTGAAGATGTTGACGTTCAAGCCGACTTTCCCTAAATTTAAAGTTGCAGCTCTTCTCATTTGAAAGGACTGAAATGATTTAAGTTCTTCTCGCTGAAATTAGCGGCGTTAAAATGACTTCATTTCTTTAAATGTGTGACACCAACTGAGGGGATTCATTTCAGCTGGTCTCTTTTTCAGCACAAAAACAATAAAGAATAAAGGATAAGGCAGGTTTTTATGGATCATTTTACAGCAACCTGCCGTTATAATTCTAACTTTGAGCTCCAAGAACACACCAGATTTGATTGTTTTTAACCATATATAGAAAAACAGAACACGACTGAAGTTTGCTGTAAATTTGCTGGTAAATTCTAACGTTTCCTTCTTTTAAACTGTCTGAACTATGAGTCACAGATACATGACGTAAATATTAATCCCAGAAAACAGGAAGGAAACAGGAAAACAGAATTAAGTCAAGCGGCTGGTGAACGTTCTTTGTGGGGGGGCGCAGTCTGCAAATGACCTTTTATTTTAAATCAGAAATTACAATATGAGGAACATCAGGCACAACTATTTACAGGAATGCAAATGTTCTACCTTTAATCATAATCTAATTTAACATTATTAAGACTGAGCAGAACTAAATTGCAACACCATTTATCAGAACGTAATGCGTTACTTTCTTTTTGAGTAGCAAAACGCCGTCTACATCATTTCCTGTGCTTCAACTTCTCACAGTTTCAATGCAAACTCTGAATCTCTGCACGTTCAGGTGAACTATACGGATACAGGACGACATTACTGACCGACTGAGGCTGAAGTTTTGTAAGATGAGGAGGATTTTGAACTGAAACCTTTCACGCTCCACACTGGAATACCTTTTCCTGCAGAAATACAATAAAATACCGCAGTTGCTGATAGTGAAAAGTAATGCATTACTTTTTTGGGGATGGAGCAACACTGTTCACATCTTGTCCTGTGCTTTAACGTCACACAGTCTGAATGTAAACTCTGGACCTGAGCAGGTTCAGGTGGAATATATGGATGTACGAAGACTTTATGGGCAAACTGGGGCTGAAGTTTTGGAAGATGAGGAGGATTTTGAGCCGAAACAACACCACAGCTGCCAGTACCTTAAAGTAACGCATTACTTTTTTTTTTTTTTTAGGGGGGGAAGGACACCGGTTGCCACCCAGCTTGGAGGATGAAGGGCAGAGCAGGCTCGGGTGTGAGACTGCAGCACGGTGCGCAGTGACCGGCTGCATCCACTGGGGGAGGACCGAGCACCGCCTGCCTGCGCTGCGGAACACGAACGACTTTCTCACCGACACTCTCCATCATCACACACACACAATGGGAGGATACGGGAGTAAAGGTAGGGCTCAGCGGCGGACACACAGATGTGCGGCGCTCTGAATCAACCACGGGGCCGTTTCCCGTCGCCTGCGCGGAGGTAAACTTTTCCCAACCTGCTACCTTCGGGCCGTGACGGTGCGGAGCTGTCATTGAACTCGCCTCTTTGCACACCTGCTTCTTCCTCTTTTTTGAACGTTTCCTGCTGCCGGGAGCGATGCAGCAGAAACGGAGGCTGAAGTGGCGATAGATCCTGTTGAATTGAGACAAGGCGTCGAGACGCAGCCAAAAAAAGTGTCCTCCTCGGAGTGCGTCAGAGCCCGGCTGCATGTGCTGGATGTGGCCGCTGGTTTGGATACGACGAGGGATCTGTGATGTTGCACCCCGAAATCAAGACGGGGATTTGAGCAAAAGCGAAGAGCTGCATCCTCACCTAACCTTCCTCCTCTTCCTCCTCCTCCTCCTCCTCCTCCTCCAGCAGATTTGTTTGTAGGGGCTCAGGCGGCTCGTTTGGCCCCTTTTCACATGTAAGTATGAGCGTGAGGATGAAGGGAGGCTACTTTAATGAGAGCGTTTCGTGCGTAATGTCTCTTCTGAACACAAACGCATCCTGAAGCCGTTCCCTCAACAACAATAACAGTCATAACCAGAATAACGGGGAAGTTTAAAGCCTCAGATCACAGCAGGTGCGTAGCATCCTTCACATTATTGCTATTATTCTGATGATTTTTTCTCTCCTGTCTTCTCTTGTCTCGCAGCTCCGCGGAGCGTCAGAGGAATAAAGTCATTCACATTCACCGGAGCTCCATCACAACAGCGGAGATCCATTTTTTTTTTCTATATCTCATCACATAAAATGGCAACCATGAGTGACCACGGAGGATCAAAAGACGCATTTGGGTTCGAGCTGGGAAATTAACCACCTGATGGGCACCGGAGGAGCCGCGGAGGGACTGTTTTGGTGTCGCTTGTTGACTTGGTGATTTAAAATGCCGAACAAATAAGCGGCGCTGCAAGTTGGACGGAGCGGCTGCGTAACAGGCTGTGCCACCGGCCTCACATTTTTTGGTTATGGTAATGATGTCATAAAACCCTGGCGGCGGGGGGGAAGCTGAGCCTCAATCTTCTATCATGTAACATGCAGCGCGCTCAGCGTGGACCTGGCTGAGGTGTGACTTTCTCTGATTCACTGCTGAAACGGTTTGATGCCTCGTTTCGCGTCTCTGCGCGCTCCGAGCTGCAACTTGCGGTAACTGTAGCGTTCACACGGACCGAAAATGGAGTTTGCCATGGTGGGCGCGGACGGCGGGTGCAACAGTCACCTGCCGTACGGTTATGCCCAAGCCCGCGCACGGGAGAGGGAGCGCGAGAGGGAGCGCCAGGCTGCTGCCCAGTCGCGAGCGGCGGCTGCAGCGGCAGCGGCAGAGGGCGGATGCGGCGCGGAGGGAGGCGGCGGAGGAGGCGGCAGCGGCGGCGGCGGAGGAGCGAGCGCGGGGGGGTCCACCTCCACCTCCACCTCCTCCGGCGCTCATCTCCTTAACAACCGCCAGCATCAGTCTCGCGCCGCCTCCTCCTCCGCCAACATCAGCGGTGCCGCCTCGCGCCCCTCCTCCTCCTCCGCCTCCTCCTCGCAGCAGCAGCAGCAGCAGCAGCAGGAGCCCGAGCAGCAGCACAGACTCCTCAGAGAGCGGAAAAAGCAGCGCGGCGTCGGACGGTGGAGACGCAACCGGAGCACTCTCGGCGGGGACCTGCGCCACTCGGAGCTGGCGCTGCTCGGATCCGAGGAGGACATCATGATCGAGGAGGAAGAGGCCGAGGGAGCCGAGGAAGAGGAGGACGAGGAGGAGGAGGAGGGCGGCCGGGGCAGCAAGAGGTCGAGCTTTCTGTGCAACATGGATGATGAGGAGGAGACGGTGTCGATCACCGACCGGCGGCCGCAGTCCGGCTACGAGAACGTGTACAGCGAGTGCGGCTGCTGCGAGAGAGTCGTGATCAACGTGTCGGGGCTGAAGTTTGAAACTCAGCTCAAGACGCTCACTCAGTTCCCGGACACTCTGCTGGGAGACCCGGACAAGAGAATCAGGTACTTCGACCCGCTGAGGAACGAATACTTCTTCGATCGGAACCGGCCGAGCTTTGACGCCATCCTGTACTACTACCAGTCCGGCGGCCGGTTAAAAAGACCCGTCAACGTGCCGTTCGACATCTTCTCCGAGGAGGTGAAGTTTTACGAACTCGGGGACGAGGCGATCCTCAAGTTTCGGGAGGATGAGGGCTTCGTGAAGGAGGAGGAGAAGCCGCTGCCGGAGGACGAGTTCAAGCGCCAGATCTGGCTGCTGTTCGAGTACCCGGAGAGCTCGAGTCCGGCCCGGGGCATCGCGGTGGTCTCCGTCCTGGTCATCGTCATTTCTATTGTCATTTTCTGCCTGGAGACGCTGCCGGAGTTCAGGGATGAAAAAGAGTATCTACAGCCACGACACAACTCCTCTCAGCCGGACCACGGGTTCACTCCGTTCAACGACCCGTTCTTCATCGTGGAGACGGTCTGCATCATCTGGTTCTCCTTTGAGATTATAGTTCGCTTCTTCGCGAGTCCGAGCAAACCCGCTTTCTTTAAAAACATTATGAACTCGATAGACATTGTCTCCATTTTGCCTTATTTCATAACTCTCGGCACGGACCTGGCGCAGCACCAGGGCAACGGGCAGCAGGCGATGAGCTTCGCCATCCTGAGAATAATCCGCCTGGTCCGGGTGTTCCGCATCTTCAAGCTGTCCCGCCACTCCAAGGGGCTGCAGATCCTGGGTCACACCCTGCGGGCCAGCATGCGGGAGCTGGCCCTCCTCATCTTCTTCCTGGTCATCGGTGTCATCCTGTTCTCCAGCGCGGTGTACTTCGCCGAGGCGGACGAGCCCACGTCCCAGTTCACGAGCATCCCGGACGCGTTCTGGTGGGCCGTGGTGACCATGACCACGGTGGGCTACGGCGACATGAAGCCCATCACGGTGGGCGGGAAGATCGTGGGCTCCCTGTGCGCCATAGCGGGCGTGTTGACCATCGCGCTCCCGGTGCCGGTCATCGTGTCCAACTTCAACTACTTCTACCACAGGGAGACCGACAACGAGGACCAGTCGCCGGTGGTGGAGAGCATGCCCCCGGGCTGCCCCTACTTCCCGGACTTTCTAAGGAAATTCAAAGGCTCGCCCTCCGGCTCCTCGCTGGGTGACAAAGCGGAGTACATGGAGATGGAGGAGGGGGTGACGGAGTCGCTGTGCGGCCTGGACAAGAGCCCCAGTAAAGGAAACGGCACAGACATAAGCAGAAAAAACAGTACTAACTCAAAGTCCATTCAGACTGACGTGTGATTACAAGCAGTTCTGCAGCAGAACGCGCCCTACACAACAGGTGATCCCCCCCCCAACACAAGTTTTACGCACGCCTCAGAGCCCACGCACACACACCCACAGCTCACCAATTGGCAGGTTCAGATTCCTCTCCACACCGACGAACCTTTAGGAGCAGTTCTGCCTCACGGGTTGATTAATTAGTTCATGCAACCTGTGCGTGCTTCCAAATCTGACACGGAATCCAAATTGTAGAGAAGACAGGCTATGCATTCGCACTTTATGAGTTTCATCTGTCAATAACAGGAAGGTAGGGACGATCGTTTTGCTGTTATGCAATAAAGTTAAAAATTTGTTTGCACTAATGTAGAATTTTGCGCTGGGTTTGGCAGATTTGTATTCACAGTAGAGACAGAAACTGTAGGCCATGCAAATGGCAATAATTTAGTCATCCTCGGACCACTTAGCAGAAGAATGTTTCCACAAAGAGAGCAAACTACGGATATTAATAACCCCTTTCATGCGCTGCCAGGAAAAAATTGGACTCCAATAAATGAAAAGACAGATAAAAGATTATTTTTTAACATTAACAACAAGCTCATTGATAAGACACAGCATTTAGCAGGCATCAAATAAACCAGGGCTACAGTTATTTCTATGACATCCACACAAACACGCTTTTCCACATCAGGCCAAAACAAATAGAAGCCTCGTGTTGTTGTTGTTGTTGTTGACCCACCGTGAGAGCTAAGCACAGGAACCATCCGAGTTTTAAAATGGCTGGAGAAATGACTCGCCCCAGGTTTTCTATGGACACTCTTGGAGCCTTGGCGACAGCAGGTTTTTTTTTTTTCTTTTTTTTTCCCTCCTGTTTTTTTTTTTTTTTCTTCCCCCAGTTTCATTTAAACCACCTCAAAATGACAATATCCCTTTACACGGACGCAGATGGAAAGTTACAGCAAAAATGACTCTGTCGTGGAAACTCCTCGGAGGGGGAGTTTACGAGCAATTTTCTCTCCTGTCCGCTGGACTTGGTGCACAAAATATTTGTTTCTTTTTTTTCCTCATGAGGACTATAATTATCTCGGAGCTCAGAGGACCGTCGGGATGTGGATGTCTTCCAAGGTATGTAGCCTACAGTTGGTGTGTGACACTGATTTTTTATTTTTTATTTATTTTTTTTTATCCAATAACGATTAAAACAATTCCCACTGAGCCGGTACGACTTTGGAGGAATGTCCCCAAGATGATAAATACACGTAACACTCACTTCATCCTATATTTATTAACTTATCACCCTCAGTTTTATTTTCAACACTCAGTTGTTGCCTCAGGATGACGTATGGATGCTCGTGCGTAACCGTGCGTAAAAGTGTGGCCGAACATGGCGCACATTCCATGTGGCCAGTTAAAGTGGCACTCAGGTCAAATATCCAACAATACTGCAAACAGATCCATTTATAGCAGCTGTAATTATCTCACCAGAGGCCACAGCAGGTCAGTGTGCTGAGGAGATAAACGGTGCATTAATAGTGACTGAAACTTTATTGAATGCAGCTTGGTTTTTATATTAATCTGAACATAACGTGTGAGAGTCCTGCCTATAGCTGCACAGATTGGACTGCATTCACACCAAAAGATCATTCATTTTACTTTAGATTCTCTTTCTTTGGTCTCTGCTGTCCACTCGTCTCATCCACAGCAGGTGCAGCATCAGAACATGAGCCCAGAGCTAACTGTTATGACTCAAAATGTGTCAGTAAAAAAAAGTTTACATCTTCAATCTGAAGATGCAGTTCTGCAGATGAGGAAAAACGCTGACGCTCCCTCCTCCGCCACTTTCAAAAAATGTGTTCTGCTTTTATTAACTCACTCGGCTGTTTGTGCAGAAGGATGTGTGTGTGTGTGTGTGTTGTGTGTGTGCAGAGTTTGGCACTGGATGGATGTTTTTACAACCATCTGCTGGAGCTTCACCCTAAATCAGCTGAAGGCGCGAGAGCAGGATTCTGGTGACAGTTTGAAAGCCGGTCGTGGTCAAATGTGCTGTTTAAACAAGTGCAGGGTGGAAATTCAAAGCCTCCTGTGCACATTAGTCTGGGAATGGCTGCCTCAGTCAAGTAAGGGTTCTACTTAAGACTGGAAGCAGCTGCATATTCCAAGATTCTGGATTTTTCTATAAGGAAGAGGTTGTTTAATTTGTCTAGATGAAAGATTTGAGTCCTAAAAACAGTCTTATGTTGGTGGGAAAAAGTTAAAAAGCAGCTTTGTCGTGCTTTGCGGTGTTTTGAGTGCTGATCAAACGCACCACAAGATGTTAAATACCCACAAGTATGTTTGCACCTGTAGGAGCAAAACTCAAGTCACAGTCTGTAGACGTTTGTGTTGTTGAAGTAAAGCCCTGCAGCCTGTCGCTCCGTCAGAGCCTCTCAGCGCACACAATCACCGCATCTGATAATTCATTGCATTGTGTGTTTATATCCTCAGAGGAACTATTCATACAAGATATTTTCACCACCTGCACCCACAGACAAACACATCCACAGCAGCGGCGTGGCTCGGAGCCAGCTCCTCCTGATACCTCACACTTAGCACTTACATAATGTGGCTTATGGCGAGAGGTGCAAAAAAAACTGAATATTTTTCATGCAAAAAAAAAAAAGCGTGTGGGTCAGGCATATTCTGTAGCCGCTGAGCTGGCTGTGAAGAAAGAAAGAAAGAAAGAAAGAAAAAACCCGGCTGTATCATCGGGAGCCACAGAGGCTCAGTGATTGTGACTGTTCACGGCGCCCCGTCGTCACGTGCAGGCCGAGTCTTTGTAGTGCAGATTTAAACCATATGGTCGGGCCATGTGACAAAGTGAGAGTTATTTATGGTTATTTCTCAAAAGGTATTCCGCGGCTGTCAAAGGACGCAGAGGAGAGGTGGAAAAGAAAGGGAGTGTGTGGTACACGGTGTCAGGCTGGGTTACGTAACAGCAGGAGGAACGGAGCACAAACAAGTTGATCAACAGAAAGTGAGCCGTCATCAGGTGACAGTCGTCTGATCCGCTAAAGGGACGTTTGCTGCTTTTATCTTTCAAGTGTGAAGATTGTTTCCGCTCTTAAAACATCACAACAGGAAGAATTCTGCTTTTTTTCTAACCTGTTGGTTCACAGAAAAACTGGAGGGAAACAGTGACGTTCTTTTGTCTTCATTTATGGTTAATATGAACTAAATGAGTAACTAATGATTGATTTGATGGCAAGTGACAGATTCACTGACGATGTTAATAAGTCGCCGCTCTTCGAGGTATCGCTGCAGCGTCGTACTCCCGTGGACGAAGCGCTCATTGATAAATGTTGTTTACAAGCCTCCATTCTGGTTCGCAGCACAAACAATAGTGAATCACAGGCTGTAGGATGAAGTCACATTTGTACTATATAGAAAAAAACCAAGACAACGTGGGAAAGTGCCCAGACAGCTCCAAGGCTTTCTGTTTATCAGGTTAGTTGTTTAAATAATTGTGAATTTGTTAGATTACATGCAACCCTAAGAGCAGGAATTTGGACGGAGCCAGTTTGTGCTCAGTTGTTTAAGTAGGAGCCGATCTTTGTCTGGTCAGATGTTCCAGCTGGAAGGTAAACAGCTTTTGACCACTGAGGCAACAGGTTGCTGCAATAGTTGCTGGTTCTTTTGTTTGTGATGTACTATGGAACATGTTTGAGCTAAACTGTGACGAATAAATCAACCAGCGTCTTAAAAGTCGTCCAGGTGGAGCATGGAGAGTTGTCAGAGCCTCTACAGACGTGGACGGCACATTTTTATCAATTCTTGTGCTACAAAACATAATTCACTTCTAAAAAACAGATTATTATTATTATTATTATGGTTGCCCAAACATTAGTCAATAAAAAAAGTCTTAAAAGAACAAGTTTTGATTGGCTGGTTGGGCACAATAGGATAAAACAACAAAACAAACACACAAAACGTCTCAAATTCAACTGGAAGTGGCGACACTGAGTCAGCATCTGAAGCGTCATTTAACAGGAAACCTGTGCAGGCAAACTGTCATTCATCAAGCTCAAACCTGGCCTGTCTTTTATAAAGTAGCGTAGCATTAGCCACTTAGCGCTGCCACTCACACTAACCTAAGATAAATATGCACTTTTAGACTTACACACCAAATATTCCAAAAGTCTGTTTGCTGGTTTTTCTGACGTATTCTGAATCATTACAGCTTTCACCAGATAACTTCCTACCTACATTTGCAAAATGTGTATTTTAAAGGCTCATTTGTGCTTCTCTGCATTAAAACACACTGTTAATAATGTCACTCGTGAGAATCTTTCATTTTTCTGATGCCCCCAAGATCGTATATTTAGATGATTAAATGAACATCAGAAATGTGCAGTTAACAGGACAATCTTGGCTCTGATCATTACTTTTTATTATTTATGGAAGTCTGATGACATTTTATTGGACAAGATCCGAGCAAAAAGTTGTCGTTTAAAAAAGTAAATCTTCACATAGGACGAGATCACACAGAATAGCTGAAATGTCTCCGTCCAGATACGCTGTGAAACTGGGGCAGGGCTCAACGCCGGGTTAGAAATACACTGATTGGTTTCTAGGATGTCGGAGCGTCTCTGATCAGTGTGTAATTTCAACCTGTTCTCACTCCCAGAGCATCAAATAAGCACGTTTTGTCAAATCTGCTGCGGTCTGAGGGAGGCTTCGGCATCACGGACGTGTCAAGTTGAAGCTAAATTTGCACATTGTTCGTGTTTCTTTTACTTTTTATGACGACAGATTCCCTGGATTTGCACCACTTGCTGTTTATTGGCCTTCAAACGCTTCTTTTCAAACCTTTTTACGCATCTTTAAAAATTTGTCAACGTTTAATGTTGCGCCACGAATCACAACGTCAGATTCCTCGTATGTAAAAACCCCTGTGGAAATAAAACCGATACCGATTGTGACCCAGCAGACCCAGGTTCGTGTCCTGCTAGTTCCTTTTTTCTTGTGTGACTCAGGTCTTGTTT